CATTCCTCGCAAATCAATGTTTAATTTAGTGTTATTTAGTCGTACAGTGCAGTAATTCCACCTGGAGGGTAAGCGTCGCGTGTTACTGAGTTGTGCGATTACTATTGGTTAAAAACCTTCCAATGTCAATCAAAGACGAGCACGCGTATTAAAGTGAGAAACCCTCTTGAAAGAAAGCTGTTGAGGTTCGCTACTGTTTGTGTAGCGTGAAGGTTAACGGAATATCAGACTCCTGAATTCAATCTCCGGCGTGTGGAATGTTACTACACTGCAAAATGAAACAACACGAAAACTTGAACTACGACTAATTTCTATTTCTTCCGTCAAAATAAGAATTTAAAAGGCCAGTGCATGTTACAGAAACTTACAAAAGGCGCCATCTGCCTGTGAAATGATTCATATCAGACCTAAAGTGAGCTGTTATCAGTGTCACTAACTCCTGACAGCGTGTTGTACAATATTATTGAACTATTTTTCGGGCTCAACATGCTCTCACTATCAAATATGACTTGTTAACAATCAGTACTTACAGAAGCTTAGAGAAGACACTGAGAAAAGACTATCTTCCTTTGAAATTATTCATTTACCTACGGACTAAAAGTTATATTAAACGCAAATATACTTTAATTCTAACCGACTGAATTTGTTAGTTTCACAATTATAGTGGTTTTACTATTAACCAGTTTTCCCCAACATAAGCTATTGCGTTTCAGTACCATACATGTTCCTGTTGAAAGTAAAGACGTACTCTTGAAGCGCCCTAACTTCATAACTTATATTAATCTATGCAATAACAGGTTACTGTCTTGTGGACATTGTGGTTCTTTTCTGTTTTTGAGTGCTATTGTTATAGGTCAACTTAAGTTCTTTAAAGTTTAGGATATACACTTGTTTATTTAACAGCTAATTAACATTGTGGTTAGTTCTTGTGTGCATTGGGTGGTAGTTTAGTCTTTTAACGAGAAAATTGTGAGGAAAAATAGATCGTTGGAGTAATTAAAGATTGTTTGGCAGCTTCCATTGAGTTCGTCAGTGTTGCAGCTGTTGTGATCATCATCAAATGACGTCAAACAAAGTCTTAAAAGACACAAACAACACCCACTCAAGCTAACCAGCAATATAGTCTCCAAAAAACCAAGATATACCAAGAAGCAATCTCGGAAAAGTTGCTAAAATCCGAACACACGCCTTTAACTTTAACAGTTCGAATAACCCGACAGGAAAGTGACGTTACCAGTTCTCTACAAGGTCGACTGATTTATCTGATTTATATAATTTGTCTATTTTTACGTACGAGCAGACCGGTATTGGCAAGTCAAACACAAACACAGTATAACTGATGGATAAAGAAGATAATGGCTACTTAAGTAGAAGGTAGTTAAATAGTTTGTTTATTTTAAGGTTTGCGAAGCAACGAACAAGGAAGCGAGGGTCACGAAAATTCCCACAAGCCACTTATCACGACCGCACCTGCACTCCCTCGCTCTTGATGAATGCGGCTCTCTTATTTGTCCCTGGCAAGGGTTTACAGGGTTTCGTTATATTCATTTTGTGTTGCAAGGGTTGTGTTTGAGGTTTCAGTATAACATGCCAATATCATTTTTACGAGTCGGGTATTCAATGTACACGATAAAACTGATGTAAATTGTAGGCTTCAGTATATTTTAAAGCCTGTATTATGTAATAAGCTTAGCTGCATATTCTGACGAACTATGAACTCTTTTGTGTGGCCCTAACTTTTGATGCGCATCAAAATATTGCCTGCTTCAGTTAGGCAATATTGAAGGTGTTCTGAATCAGCTTGTCCAGCCTTTGATGCAAATATGAAAGCAAACTTTTCGTGCAATGCAATTCCACTAAAAAAAAAACAAAAAAAAACAGAGCCCCTTTTACAATAACCTCAGCTCTTGATATCGTAAATTAACGGCCATGAAATAATTATAAATGCACGATCTCGTGTTTGTGTGATGTCAGTATACTAGTTAATTTGCTGTGAAAATAAACCCGACTATTTCTTCGTAAACAGATTAATATCGATCTCAAAACATTAGTTATATAGTTCTTCTTCCTTTAAAGATTCAAAGAAGTAAATTTGGAAGAACTTTAAGTCGTGTAACCAATGAATTCTATTGAATACGTAATTGTGACGTGTTAAAATCAGGAATTGATTGCGGAAATAGATTTGTCTGACGCAAAGTGGCTTCTCCTCGGTTCACCTTTTGTGATCATTAAGGACATTGCTTTTGTGTTTGGAGTGAGTTGTTTGTTTTGAAAGGAAACTGAATTGTTTGTTTTGAATACTGGGTGCAATGCTGTACCATATCAAATTTTGCCCTTGGGTAAAACGACTTGTTGGCATTAACTGCCGTATTAACACCTCATTGGTTAAGATATATTTTGCATTTTACCGCTAACTTAAGACTTCTGTCAGAGACGCGAAGTCTTGAGACCTTTTCATTGACTGTCGTATTAACATCTTATTGGCTGACATACATTTTGAAGTTTACCGTACGTCAACGTAAAGAATTGGAAACAGGACAATTCTCAGACTTCTGTCAGAGACGCAAAACCTTGACAGAGACCTTTACCATGATAACCAACAAGAGACAAACGCTAAAGAGGTTTTCAGCCATTTTTACCTGTGTGTTTGTTACTTCCTACTTGTTAGTGAACGTACAAGACGACCAAATCAGAGAGACCACCGGCTCGAGAAACTCTCATGTTGTGAATATCACGGAATACACAATGAAAAGTAAGGTCTCGCCACCTTTTATTTATCTCACGCAAACTGAGCAAT